TATCCAACTGTTTGTAGGTTATGTTTAATATTCTTAAAAGTATTTAAATCGTTTGAAAATGTACATAATTTACTAGAGGCGCTAATTTTAAATTTAAAACACAATTTTAAGAACTCTATGCTGAAATACTCTTTGAATGGTTTCATAACTTTAATGAGCACTAATTATGAACCTACCTAAAAGAATTGCAAACATATCTTATTTCAAATGTATTAATATTATGTTAGAGGCATACATTAGGCCTGTGGGTTAGAGCCCCATATCTATAGATATTATAATGTAGGAGATAAAAAAAAGAAAGGATGAGTGCATTTATTATTATTATTATTATTTATAACAAGTAAAAATCTTTTAGCTGTTAACGAAATAGGTTGTTTTTAAAAAATGGTTTAAGGCGTAGTGCCCATGTTGTGACAACTGTCCAAATATCTTTTGTTTCAAGCGTCCTACACAAACAGGCACCGACAGAGAACCTGTTTCCGTCTTATTAGACCTCATCAGTGCCGGATACTTGTGGTGTGTAAGTACACCCGAAACACGCTGCCAAGGGCCTTATATAGGCACTAAGTAAAGCAACAGCGGTGAGAGATAATCAGCCACTGTCTATCGTCAAATCGGACGTGAGCTACTATGAGTGTGGCAAAACTGTGCTTCCTACACGTCATAGCAGGAGTAAAATTAATACTTTACTACGTTTCAAAAACCGTGACTATGCATTAGTGCAGTCTCAAAAAATGGTTTTTTACTTAAGGTCATAGGCATATAAATAAAACAAGGATGGCTAGATTTATCTTTTGAAATTTTTACCCTTTCTCTCATACTTATATAATCGCCTATTTCCTCTCGTTTATTCCTCGTTCTTGCAATATTTTATTGTAATATTTGAATATAAAATGTTCTTGTAATATACATACCATGAAATGCACCCTAATAAATATCAAATGATTTGCCCATCATGATCCTTCTTCAATATTTCTTAAAGTCTTAATTGAGGACATTATTATAATTTATTTTTTTACTATATTGCCTAATATTGACAATATTTGCGTTTTTCTGTATATAATGGTATCTATTATAACCGCCCGCCTAACAACGGGAATAATGAATTCATTATTCCCGTTGAATTTGTGATTGGCCGATTTAATTATTTACTTTGGTTTGGACCAAACCAGCTTATTCCAAATTCATTATAGTCCAAAATCTGTCAAAAGGTTCTAACCTAACTTTTTAATTATTTATTCAATATTTTTTATTTCTCCCAATAAAGATAGAAAAAGAAAAAGCATATTATTACACTCAAGATAATGCTTATTATTTTTTGTGAAATAATATACTATTTTAATCTTTTGTTAATTAATAATAAATTTGGTAAAATTATACCATGTCTTGTATATTGCTTACAAAAATAATTGCTTTTGAAATTTTGGCCATTATAATGATCCCAATTTTAATTTGCAATTTTTGTATTCATTGGGTATAATAATTATTAGGTACAACACAATAATCTCTTTATATCTTGTGTTCTATAAAAAAACGGATCTTATACGCAAACTTCTTTTCGACCCAGATAAAATAAAACCTTCGTGTTAAAATATGTACTCACGTAGGTATATAAAAAAGAATTAATTAACTTGGGTTATTTTAGTATAATTTATCAATGCATAGTTAAGTCTTGTAGGTATTAGTAGACATTCTGGACGATTATATTGTTGTATGAATGGCCGTTTAGACGCGTTTAATGGTATTATTTAAACAAATAATTACTTAATGAAAGCAATTGTAAAATTAAATGGCAAAGCTATTTGTTTAGTTGTTTCGTTTTAAAATATTTAATTTCTTTTAAACGGATTCTAGTAATCGATCACAATAAATTTTTATTCGTTCGAAAAAAAGTTTAAAGAGCGACGCAAAATTATTGAAGAATATAAAACCTGTAATTTTATATTATAGAAAATCGCTGGAAAGCATCGTTCCGTTGTAAGTTGCAAGGTAATTTAATTTTATCTTCTTAAATTCTATAAAAATATCAAGAAAAACTAAACACTTGGCTAAACGGTATTTTTATATAAAATTAAAGATTATAAACTTTTTTTTTAAGTGTCATAAGTCTACACAGGGTGTTTCACATTTATGGTCCATCAGAGGTTTCTGGGGAAACCGATAAGGATATCGATTTAAAAATTGGATAAAAATGTAGATTAATAAATGTGTAATATTTACTTTTTTAAAATTTCAAGTAATAACAAAGTTGTAACATTGTTTGTATTTAAAAGGTTTTTAGGTACACTCAGAGAAATATCAAGTTATGAAGAGCATATGAAATTATATTAATTTAAATAATCGGGTAAATTTGATTCAAATAGAAAAAATTTTAGTTTTACATTCATTTACCAACAGTTTTACAATGTTTTGAAACACTTTTAAAGTGTACCCTCTTTAAAATATATATACAAAAAGAAATCCATTTATTTCATTGCCTTTCTCAAAGTTGTTTCAAAAATATATGTATTATACAATTGTTATGCACCTATTAATTTAATGGGAAACACCAATGACGCCAAAACATATTTGAATCCCTAATAATTCAAAGGGATTCAAATATGTTTTGGCGTCATTGGTGTTTCTCATTAAATTAAAAGGTGTATAACAATTGTATAATACATATATTTTTAAAATAACGTTGAGAAAGGCAATGAAATAAATAGATTTCTTTTTGTATATATATTTTAAAAAGAGTACACTTTAAAAGTGTTTAAAAACATTGTAAAACTGTTGGTAAATGAATATAAAACTACATTTTTTTCTATTTGAATCAAATTTACCCGATTATTTAAATTAATATCATTTCATATGCTTTTCATGACATGATATTTCTCTCAGTGTAGTTTTTTTTTAATACTTTGAGAATCGCTGACTCCTTCCCCAAATAAAATTCATGTTAGTAGGCTTGTAACTAAGCCTTTCTTTAATTTTACTGACCTTGTGGCTTTTCAAATTAAAAAATAGTACCAATAGAAGTATACACATAAAAGGATACTTGGTGCAGTCTATAAGACTAGTAAATTTAATCAAAAAATAAGATCCAAATAATTTAAAAATTTCAACAAAAACAAGGGCTTTTCTGCACACTTTAAAATTGTTCAGGTAACTTTTATTTTTTTTGCACTAAATATAATACAAACTTGGAACAACAAAAAACTAAAAAAAAAAAATTTTAAAAAGAAAAAAATGTAATATTTTTTATAAAACTTTTAAAACAAAAAGAGGACGTATTGCGACTCTGCCTATCGCCCTTTAATATTTAAATATTTCTCACTTTTAACACGTTAACTGCCATGAGTTTTTTACAAGTAAGGTCCGTTGGGCCACCGTGTTTTTAACTTTTAATTCTCAATAAAAATATTCCACAATTTCTATAATACATTAGCTAATTTTTTTTATTATCTTACCCCCTTCTACCCCCGTGCAACCCACAACATAATATAGAAGAAATAAATATTTGTTATTATTACCATTTTTTGTCCAGCATTATTTTTTTAATTTATTGTTATTTTTTCATTAACTCAATGGAAATAAAATCTTTTTATCATTTTTCTCATCGACATTTTTATTACGCACAAACTTAATTTTTCGCTCGATTTTTGACAAACATAGTATTACTTTTGATTGAAGAGTTTGTCATCTTAAACATGTTAAACAAAAAAATTCGGCTAAGTCTCTACCGGTGTAAATCAACTCCACGAAAATCATTCTAACATATAGAACCCATGTTATGCATCCTTCTTTCACATACATATGGCTAAAATAATTTTATTGTGGGTGTATACAAAATCATACACATGGCGCAATGGGTCTCGCGTGTATTTTTTTTCATACACATGCACTGAAAAAAATAAGCTGTTGAAACAACAAAAAAATATTAATTCAACTCTTTATGCACTTTAAATACAAGCAATGGTTTTTGCACGTTTACTTAACCATCTAAAAATGTCAAAATGTATTGTTTAATTGAACAACAAATAACAGTCAAATGAACAAAATAAGAATATTTGTTCTAATCTGCTAATTTGGTTAATTTAACATTCTTAGGGTGTTAAGGTAAATTTCTTGAAATGTCCAGGTAACCTTTTTAGCATATTCACTTAACACCAATAAAATGTTAAATTAACATTCTGAAAATGTAAAATTCTTTAAAGGTTGGTATCCAAAACAAAATTATGGAAATAATATATTATTATATATAAATAGAAAGAATTGAACCTTCACCTCACCCAGAGTTTTTGTTTTGAGCGTGTTCCACCCATGATACATCTTTGTATCATGTGTTCCACCTACTTCAAATACCGACAGACTGTTTCGCCCTGTATTGAGGGTCTTAACAGTGTCGGGCAATATGGTGTAGTAAAAGTTCTACTGTGGAACACACCTTAAACAAACAGATATCTCATCTTATATACACCTAATCGTAAGCTAACTAAGGCGAGATGTAAGAAAACGTCATTGTCTAATGACGTGGCGTGAGTGTTCGAAGCGCCATTCTCGGCAATTTTATGAATGCAAATTTTACATTTTAAATTTTAAAGTAACATTTTAAATTTGTTAAATGAACAAATTTAAAGTTTTGGATTAAAGAGCAACTAAACGTTAATTTAATAGTTTTTTTAGGTAATCCTAAAAATTTCAGTAGTTGATTCAACAAATTCCAGCTATTAAATCAAAGTACGATAAACATTTTAATTCAAAATATTAGTTTATGTTAAATTAATATTTAAACTGTCAAATGAACAAATAAACTTTGACAAACTCTGACTTTTGCTTTAACACCAAAATATAGATTAATCCAATAGGTTTTTTGTTGAAACAACATTTTTAAAAATGACATTTAGGCAAATGTTAACTCAACTACATTATTTTTTTCGGTGTGGCAGTTAACTTGTTAAGGTAAAATGGTTGTTATTAAATTTTCTTATGTATGTCTGTTTTTGTTCCAGGACGAAAATATGTCAGGTCCCGATTCAAGCGGCGATAGTAGTGATGGAGAACCAGCCGATAACGACACAGTTCCAGATATTTTCTCTCCCCCTGATCCTTTAATGTTCTCCAACAAAAACCCATCGCCACCACCTACCCTCGTACCACCGCAAAAACAAACGCCGGCTTTATCTTCGTCATCGTCTTCAAGCTCAAAATCGACACCCTCAACGACTGTCAAAACGGAACCCAGCACCTCGCCCTCGATTTTATCTCCGATATTGTACCAAACTCCGCAAGGTATGATGTACGCAACGCCCTCTAACGGCGGGGTGATTTTGAGTTTAGCTCAGGGCGACGCAAACGGCCAACCCCAGTTTATCACTATCCCTTTGTCGATGATGACCAACGGGCAAGGAGAACTGGATCTATCTAAGAGAAACTGACCAAACGTTTTTACAATTTCGTACTTTTATTGGCAATAAGCATGTGATTGGTAAAGTACTTCATTTGATTTAAAATTCAGCTCATTCTGTGGTGGATTTACCGTTGTCTGTTCAGAGGCCAAAAACGGAAATGACCATAGACCACGTTTTGTTCTTCCGTCGATTACGACATCACACACTTTTTGTTTCCTTTTCCGCTTATTAGATATGTGATGGGCACATATCGCTTACCGTTTTTATTAATTATTTATTTATATCACACGAAATTACAGATAATTATTCGAGAAACGGTTTGTTTCGTATAATCTAAATGCAATAATCATGTGTTTTATAACGTTTAAGTGAATACAATTATTAATTTATTCTATCAAGCAATAATTTTAAAACAAATAAATATATTTGCCAAATTGTACTTAATAGTTTAGGATTTAATCGTATAATTATTGGACTGAGTTACATTTGCATATAGTGTTAAAATATTTTTATTTATTATTTACACTGACCTTTACATTACTCCTCTTAATGCTATCTAAATACTTGCCTTATTTTGCTGCGCTAAATCCTAATTATAAACCATTTAAAGATCTTTAAAGGTATAGTCCAGAACTATTTTTTAAAAATTTAAATGTGATATATTATCTACCAGCTAGTAAAATATTGTTTTAGGCATACATTAAATTATCCTTGGATAAGGGTTGGCAAACTGTTTTTAAGTATATATTTGCCAAATTGTACTTAATAGTTTAGGATTTAATCGTATAATTATTGGACTGAGTTACATTTGCATATAGTGTTAAAATATTTTTATTTATTATTTACACTGACCTTTACATTACTCCTCTTAATGCTATCTAAATACTTGCCTTATTTTGCTGCGCTAAATCCTAATTATAAACCATTTAAAGATCTTTAAAGGTATAGTCCAGAACTATGTTTTAAAAATTTAAATGTGATATATTATCTACCACCTAGTAAAATATTGTTTTAGGCATACATTAAATTATCCTTGGATAAGGGTTGGCAAACTGTTTTTAAGTATATTTTCTTATGAATAGTTTAATATGTGAACATAAACAGAGTTTATTTTACTTGTATGGTGTATCTAAAATATTTTTTTTAATAATGGTCAAGGTGGCTAAAATTGCAAAATAATTATTTAAGTATTTTGCTAAAAAAATAAAATATTAAAAATATCTGCCCTAAAAGTGAGCGTACAGAGATTGGATACATTGGGATTATTTTTGGAGATGCCTCAAGTAATCCAAAAAAGGAATTAGTATTGTATCTAATTTAAATTAACAGTATAATATTTTTTTGTTTAGGGACTAATACATGGGGGTGATCGCCTTCCCCCCAGAGCTCTGGAATAAAAAAAATGGTTGGTTATTTCAAATTTATTGAATATAAATCCTTCTATAATTATACTATATGTGGGTGCCACTTGAGCTCTAAATAAAACTTTAGAGAAAATAAATAAATCTTTATTAAAATTTTATAATGAATAAATTTAAAGATGCACCACATCAGTCAGTGATACTAAATGCTATAGTCACTCCTAGGGTCCCCACTATAGAAGACCAGATATACATAACTAGGGTTTTTGATTAAAAAATGAGCTTGACACGGCAAATTATGGTTTATTAATTTTTATTTAATATTGGATTTTTCAAATCTCTTTAAGTTGCTTTAATCTTGTCGCAAAAAACATTAAGGGAAATTGTTTTTTTTTCTATAATTCCTACTTTAAATAAATTACTAGAATCATCCTTCAAAAAATGTTTTACTAGCTTAAAAATAGTTTGCACTCTACTGAATATAACATTGAAGTTTATAAATTTCTATTTAGCGTATCAAAATAATATTAGCAACTATCTTTATTAAAATAATTATATCGCATTTTTAAGTCGGGTGATCATAAATCAAATATTTTAATAATTTTTACTCTCTATTTGCTTGTGTTATATATGCTAGTCATTTTGCTAGTGTTACCTTATTTATTGCTGTTATTTTTAGTACATAGTAGAATACATAATTTGTTTTTCTTATTTTATTTGTTGGTACTTTTAAACATTGTCATATAGAAAAAATATTTAATGAAGTTTTCCGTAACACTTATAATTGTTTTAAGTAACATTCCACATTTTGCAATACAAAGGATCAATTAATTTTTATCATTGCCCTATAATAATATTATCATTTATAAATAGACAGTAAAATTAAAATGTTTAAAAAGACTAATAAATATTACCATTTTGTATGTTATTTATCTTGTATTTTAATTAAATTGCTAGCGTTTTTGTTAAAATACATTTGACTTATTTAGAATTAATTATACTTTTAGTGTTTGTAAATTTGTTAATTTAAAAAAGTGCCTTTAAGAATATTTATCAATAACATATGTATGTATCTTTTGATATTTAAATTTACGTAATAAAAAACTTGAAACTTTATTTACTGTTTTCTTTAAACTCTCAATTAAAAGTTTCTACTTCTTAATTTAAAACAGGTAAGCAATTAAAAACAATAAATACGTTTTTACGTTTGCTTATTAAGGAAAAAACAGTCAATAAATATTTTCATTATCAGTACGACTAATGAAGCAGTTTCTTCTAAGAATAAGTAAAAAGTGGCCATTGTATATTTTAAAATAATATATTATAAGAATCCATTACTATATTTAGTAGCTTGTTTGTGTCTTTACACTTCCTGTTTAAGATTGTTTTAATCCGTCGGGATCAAATTTTTCTTTTAATCCCGAACGTGCATTACGGTATTCTTTCCATGTATCAGCAAATTTAAAATTCATTCTACTTAAGAATTCTAATTCCTTAGAAATCCAGTTTGATTAATTTTTTATTTGTGTTTATGTTTTATTAATTAGAGGGTGGAACCACAAATAAAAATGGGCGTTAATAACAAAAAAAGAATGTTAAAAGCTTTTTTAAAAAATAGGTTATTGGTTTTAATTACAATGAGTAGCATGTTTTAAAAATGAGTTAGATCAACATAACATGTAATTAACGAATGGTCCGAAAGTTTTGGAAAAAATGTATTGAATATATTTTAGTAAAATTTTTAAACAGGGATTATTTATAATTATAAAATCGATTGGCCCAAGTTTTTCCTTGACGCGTAGCATCATTTTTTGGTTGCTATAGCCTAATTTTTTCTGAATACAAGGCGTCGCAATTTTTTTCATTTTGTGCTTTTCATACTTTATTATATATTTTTCGACTCAATATTGCCCAGAACTCTTTAGTTGGGCGAGCCTGAGGTAGGTTAAAGGTATTGTCCACTTTCGGTACAAAGTTGATGATGTTGGAATGACCAGTCCCTTGTGATTCTCTCATAATTGCATGAAGCAAGATTTGGCTAAAACATTTCATCATTTGCATGATGTGTGTTTAAAACTAAAGCACTTAGAGATACATCTCTGGATACCAGGGCCGTCTTAAGCACCCGGGCAACCGCCCGAGGCGGCCATTTTTTGGGGGCGGCCGTTTAAGGGGCAGCCATTTTTTGGGCCTTTATTTTTTCTGCCACCATTAAAAAAATCAAACAAAAATTGCCACTACATGATTTATTTGCCTAAAATTTTTTGTATATTTATAATGAGTTTTTAAATAGAAGTGCGGCTTTCTTAGATCTTAAAAGAAAGCCGCACTCGCGTAATCCTAATCAATATCGTAAAGAAAATATTTTAATTTTTGTTTGTTTTTTATTATCTGCGTACGGACTGGCATTATTTTTTTTAACTAAACCACCATTCGGATCGGATAGGTTGTTTATCCAGCTTTAATTTGTTTTTTTGTAGGCCTTAATACGACCAGAAATTCTCGCTGAGCTATCTGGCTTTGAATAAAAATGAATCATTTTTCCTTTGATCATCGATATCTCAGAAACCAATAGTCTCACAAAAAATTGAAGGTCGGTTTTAGAAACTTGAATAAATGCCCTACAAGGTTTTTTTTAAAACAATTTTTTTCCATTCGTAACATGATTTTGAAAAATTGTGAAAAAATGGGGTTTGGAGGTTTTTGGGAAAATCACACGCGGAATGGAGATTATTAAAAAACGTCTAATATTAAGTGTGCCTTTTATAGTTTGATATACCCACAAAAACACTAGCAAGTTTTAATTCGATCCATCCAGCCGTTTTTTTTATTTCATTCGATTGAATTTTGAAAAAATGAAATTACGTTTTTTTACTCTCAAACGCTCATAATCTCTAATAAAATGATCCTTTTTCATTAAAAGCTCGATAGCTCAGCGAGAAATGGTCGTTACAAGGCCTACAAAAAAAAACAAATTAAAGCTGGATAAACAACCTATCCGATCCATATGGTGGTTTAGTTAAAAAAAATAATTCAAGTCCGTACACAGAAAATAAAAAACACAATATTCATTAGGATTGCGCGATACTTGTTGATTGGAAAAATTTTTCGTCTTAAGGCCAAAAAATTAGAGACTATTTGGTATAAATTTTTGATCCTTTAACTTTTCCCACTAGTGTATATATTATAAACAAGTTATGTTCACAAAAAAAGTAAACCGTTTTCGAATAATGTATTACCTTTTAACACTGTGGGTAACAATGTGGGACTCGAACACTGACAACTAGTCCACCGACGCGTCGGCTTTAGGTTCGATAGATCTCCTGACTGGTGACGTTTCATTTCCATTACATTTTGTCACTCAATCAAACCAGGTGATTTTTTTCCCAAAACTATAGGATCATGGTATATAAATTTTGTCAGATGTCGTTAGTCGTAAAAAAAGCATTGTTCACTTACGAGAAAAGCGTTTTTCAAGCTCGTGCTAATGCACACCCGGCCGCGTATTGGGATTGTGTACTACGATACAGAGCCATAGTGTTGACAAAATTAAACGCCACTAAGTACAATACAATCCATACTACGATTCAGCACATCTCCCAGTTTGTGATGTTCTGAATCATAGTAGAGAATGTTGAAGTGTTTGCGCGAATGCAGCAGGCCATA